CTTGATGGATACAGATGCTGGATCAGGCCTTCAGCAAATAAAAAAATCACTTATTGAGCTGAGGACAGCTGAATGGAGTGTAGGGGACTTATGGACATGCTTTCCAGATAATAATTTATTCCCATGAATAACCTTCCATTATGCAAACAGTCCCACTGAACACGGATTACAATTAAGGGCAGGAGGATGAAACCCTGAGATAAGATGCAGAGTAAACCAAGTATGATATTACAGCTATTAATTAATGTGTACTAAAAGGCAGATAATGAAGTCAGGATGGCCATGAGTCATGAAGCTTCACTGGTTCCTGAGCTTGCCAGAAAAACTGTTCTCAGTGCAAAGCCAAAGTGCCATTTTTAAATATAGCTACTGCCCATAAGCTGAGGCTGTGACCTATCTGTGACTGGGCAACTGGAGGTGACAATGTCATCCAGGGCATAAAGTTTCAGCATGGACTCAATGTTTTCTGTTCAAGTCCCTCTCCCTGCTATCTTCCCAACTGGTAATAATTTTGCTTTATTTTTATAACATGCTTAATTTCTTTTTCCCAGTACCCTGAGAAAAGTCAGGGTTTACTTATCTAGGCAGTGTGTTTGTATTTTCCTACTTCCCAGTACATTCTGAATCCATACACTGGTTTTGGACTGTATTTACAAAGGAGCAAGGCCATGGCAAAATTCATCATGAGGCTGTCCCATGCCATTTGCTAGCCAGATTCCCAGCACCTGAAAGGGATTCAGGATCTGCTGGCTATCTTTATTCCTATTTTCATTCTACTGTATTACAATGTCTGTTTTATTATGCCACTTGTTCTTGGAGTTTTCTTGTTGAGATCTGGAAAAGCCATGCACCATCTTGTCCACTTACTCACCCAGGGGTGCAGAGCAGGATTTTGGTCACATAGGACAGAAGGTGCACAGGCAGGATGGAAGAGGCAGAGCTCACATGCCACTTCTGAGGGAAAACCTGCTGCAAAAAGTTAGTCTTTAAAACAAACATGGAGAGAAGTGCTCACAAAAATTTTTCTACTCCAGAATCTGTAATATTCAATTTTATAGCATTTTGTGAAAGGTGCTGCAACTCAGTTAATAAATATAAAACCATCTCTGAGTGGTGCAGGTGTTTTGTTCATCAGCTGGTAAAACAAGATAGCTTTGTTTTATTTCTACAGTAGATTGAAAAATTCTTTCCTTGTTGAAAAAAAAGAGGATTTTCAGAATACTTATTTTTGTAGAAACATCTGCTGTGTGGGAAGTTATTTGAATAAAAAAGCATACCTCTTTATTTATATCAGAAAATTCTAAAAGTCTGGAGCATGTTGCAAAACAAAGCAAAGAGAAATAAACAGGAAATAAGTGACAGAGTAGTCACAACATTTTAAGGTCAGTTCCCCTTGCTTTGGATCTAAGTTGTACTCTTTCCCAATGTGTACTATTTTCAAGGAATTTTGTCTCTCTATTTTTTTTTTTTTTTTGTGACTCCATTTCCTTTCTTGCTTTAATTAAATTATTCCCTCTGGTCCTCTAGAGGGTTTGAAAACACAAACTCTATTTCTACTTCACACTGGTGTGATAGTTCCTATGCACAAGTCACAAACTGTGCTTCAGAATGTGTCAAACCCTGTTTAATTAACTGTCTTTTCAATTACTTTGATTTGCTTCAGCCTGATCTTGGTTTGGTTCAGGATCCTTTGTAGAAGATCCATGGGATGAAGGAATTAGAAAGCTCACCTAACAGTCTGTTGAGGCGAGGCAGACTCCTGTCAGAATCAGCCTGCTCCATTCAAAACCCTCCCAGTAATTCCCTGGGATTTTGCAGGTACCTCATACACCCATTCCCTAGAAAAGTTCTCATTTCAGTCAGCATCTAAGAATCTCCACGGATTCTGACTGCATGCACACAGTCCTGAGATCTGCTGAAAAAGAGGTTTCTGCTCTTGGATTCTCAGTATTCATTAATCTGAAAGACCTTATTGTAGACCTTTCAATACTTAAAGGGGGCTTGTAAGAAACAAGGCAAGGTGCCCCTGCCCATGGCAGGATGAGATGGTCTTCAAAGGCCCTTTCCAACACAAACCATGCTATGATTCTGTGCTCTTTAAAGCTTCCTCCCAAACCCAAACCATTCTGTGATTCTAATTCCAGAGAGCAAGGGTGGATGTTTAGTCTCAAAAAAAAGGCTTTTGAGTTTATTATCCTTTTACACAACTTATGTTCTGAGTCCTCAGGATATTGGAACTCTGGTTTAATAACCTTAAAAACTGGTTCAGTTCTCGAGGGCTATAACTATTTGTGGATCAATACTTTGAATGAAAACAGCAGGAATAATTACAGCTGCATCTTGTTCTAGAAGAGAGCAGGAAAACACCACAGGCATGCCATTAATACTGAGATCATTTCTGTGCTCTCATTTTACTCCTCAATGCTACCCATTCATCTGTACTTCAGAAATATGAAAGTTTTGTATAGTGCCTAACTGGCCATAATTCAATACTATCAGAATTTAAAGGCAAATACTATTTTACCTTGGGAGTAGGTGGGTGCTGTTTGTGGAGCAGCCTCTCTGTAACACAGTCTGAGCCCAAGGCAATTGCTAACAGCATTGGTGTGTGCCTCAGATCACCTCCCTGCAAATCAGAGAAGTTTTTGGGCAGCTCAGAGAACTGCAAGGTGCAACAACAAGATATTTTCTGCCTCCTCAGAAATGTCTCCTTTTCCTGCCAGTAGCATTCCCAGGAAACCTGCTGCGTTCTGTGGGGTGCTGGTGTGGGTTCAGTCAGCCTGGGACTGCAGCACTGCTCTTCCTCACTGGGAGCCTTCCCCTTGGACTCTTTTAATTGTTATTTCAGCCAGCTCCTCAGCAGGGTCAGGTCCCTGGAGGACAAGCTGCAATACAGCATGGAGGTTTTGCTCTTCTGCAGTTTTTCCAGCAAAAAGCAGTTTCCCTGGATTGTGAGCAGCAGCTGAGCTCTGCAGCTGCAATCTCACTGGCAGAGCTGCCAGCAGCACCAGGACAGAGGCTCACACAATTTAGTTAATCAGTCATTTATCTGTCTGGGGCCTGTCTGTGCTTTATCTGTGCTGCCCATGCACACAGGCTTGGGACCAGGCCAGTACTCCAGCATACTTGGATGTCTTTTGCTCCCATGGCTGAGAGCAGCTGGGCAGGATTTTCAGTGCTTTTCTCTGGGCTTTTTTTCCACATAAAAGAGTGTTCACATCAACCAACAGGCTGGCTTTGAGTTCTCACTACCTCACACCAGTTACAGCCTAGACTTTGCAGCTCTTATTTTGCTGCCTTTGGTCCTGGTACTCCTCTTTTTAATTTTTTTTTTTTTTGGTGAGAATATCCATCCAATACTCCAACAGATTTTGCAGTGTTCCAAGAGTTTATCTGTACTTGCCTGCAGTGAACCTGATAAACCAGTTTTCGCTGTCACACAAATGCTCCGCATTGTTCAGCTGTACAATGTGTCTTTTATCACTGATCTTGCATTTTAATAGTGGTTGCTCTTAACTTTTAAAGCTTTGACTAAAAGGTAAATGGCAAACTTGTGAACAGCTTCACATGGAGAACTGCCAGACTCAGCAAAGGATGTTGTCATTTTTAAGGTTACATACACCCATATCTATCCTCAGAAGTTTGAAAATGAGAGCTCTTACTTCTTCCCAACCAAGAGAATAAGAGTCAGAATTACTCAAAAAGCTTTCTTGGTTTGTACCCTATTAACCTTATTAAAATTTTTAAAAAATAATATATTTTTTTAATATTTCCAATGCTGTGGGCAGATTAGGAATGTTTTGTTTACAAGAGTTACTGGCTGAGCACAACAGAGAGAGCTAAGAGTACAGAGTAAACATGAAGTAAGTGACATTCTCACATTTCCCCTCAGAAGTCCACTTTGAGGTGGCTCACCCTCTGTTTTAAACACCAAGTGATAAACCTGCATGAACTGCTCTTCGTCACGCAAGCAGCTTCCTAAAAGCTGAGGACAGCTCAGCTTCTGCCTGCTGATGTCCCCACTTAAACCAAGACATCTCCAACATTCGTCCAACCTGAGCTTGAATTGTTTCAGCTCACTGACTCCACACAGAACTAACCTCATTAAAAACCAACCAACCAGCAACAAAACAAAACCCAGAGCATAACCTCCCCACTTTCTGACAGAGAACTGTCCTAGTTCAGTGAAAGGTTGCACAAGGGCCAGGGAGAGTACAAAGGGCAGGTAAGGGTGCAGGAGCAGGTGTTGCAGAGCCAAAATGCTGCAGCTAGTTGTTAGGCTGGCTTAAGGCACAGACACCCTCAACTTCTCCTCAAGCTTACCTTTGCTCCCAAGATAGAAACTGTCTCTGTGCTATGGCTGCATTTCCAGGAACAACAGTGCAGTAAACTTTGGGTGTTGCAGTAAACATGGTAATTGATACCTACTTAATAACCGTAAAAAGGAAGATGACATTTCAGTCTACTTTTAAAGACTTTCAATAACTGAAACTTAAAACACATTTCTCTGCCATCAGAAGTATGTGTGGCAGATGGAGGAGAAGTGCAAGTGGTGGAGGACAGGAAAAACTAACATTTTCCCCATTAGATTAGATTTGTCCCATTTACTTTCTCCATCTTGATCTATTCAGCAGAGACACACTTCAAGAAACGTTGAGTCTGGAAATACAGAGATCCAATGGACAATAAGTAGCAAATTTCGGGCCCTGTTGGGCCCTTTGGTGTTCACACAGCTCACTGAGCACAGGGCACCACCCCACCACAATCCCACACTGCAGAATTCAAAGGATGCACTTGCATCACTACTACTGTTATCTGACAGAGCATAAAGTTCAGCCTCACATTTCATTTAAAACACAAACATGACCTTTGAAATGGGATTTTTAATGACAGCAGAGTGAAACCTTCCTGCAGCCATAGGAAGCTGTGTCTCTCCTTACCTCAAGGTGTTCCTCCCTTCTCTCGAGATTAAATAAAAAAAAAACAAAAACAAAAAATTGTCTGTGTCATATTCCACAACTGCTCTTCATTTTCTGACCATTTTCATCGTCTCTTACAGAGTGTAATGGGTACTGCAGGGAAAGGTAGCACAGGAGTACAGTTCCAGAGATAACAAGATAGAGATAGTAACACAAGAAGATTTTGTGCAAAAATACAAGAGAAGGCTTATAATTGGCACATAAGCAGAGCTAGGAGTTCACAGAACACCACACATACAAAATGTTTACAAAATTTTCATATTTACAAAAGTGAAACAAAGTTATGCATATAACCTCAGTTTTATATTTATATACAAAAAGCCTGAGTATAGAACTTATTCTAGTTATATTAAAACCTAAGAAGCTTCCCATTTGCAAATGACTTTGGCCAGTTTAAATGTGGTGCTGTGGTTGTGTGCTACTTGAATCCTTCAAGTGTTTCACACACAAACAAACCCACCAGTACCAAAACCAACCAAATCAAAAAGCCACAAAATTAAAGAAAAAAATTCACAAAACCACACCCCCCCCAATTATATATATTTCATTTCAGAAACTATGAACCAGCTCAGATCAATAAGAAAATCATGCTGACACACTCAAGACTAAATCACAGCATGTCTCAAATATTTTCAAATCAAAATTTAATGCCTGCAATATTCTATTGGCACTTGGGGTCTTGTAGGGTTTTTTTTATTTTGAAAACTTTTTGTTGCAACATTGTCTATCACCAATGCCAAATTATACATAATAGTTAACAGTGCTTGAAAGTGACTGAATTTTTGATTGGAGTGAACCCTTCTTTTTCCTGCTATAATTTTTTTATTGTTAATAGTAGCCATGAGAGAGTTTAATTTTATATTTATGATACTTTATAATTGTTATTTGTTACTCTGTATTTAGTGATGCTCTCATTGGGCACTTTGCAAAGCTCTAGAGAATATGACAAAATCATTAATTCTCACTGAAGAATGTCTTAACTTTCCTTTCCACAAAAATATGGGACTGGGAGGATGAGAGGGAGGGCACAGAAGAATCAAAATTGTGGAAAAAAACCCTAAACAATCCATAGAATGATTCTGGCCATGAGCCCTTGCAGGAACAGGGCATCTACCACTTCCTCCAGCTTCCAGTGTCTTGCTAACCTCCAGTTAAAGAATTCCCTCCTAACATTTTGTCTAAATCTCCCCACTTTCAGTTTCAAACCATTTCACCATCACAAAATGCCCTTGTAAAAAATCCCTCTCCAGCTACCCTTGTAGCCTCTTTTCAGGCTCTGAAGTCCCTAAAGGACTGAAAGGGACTCCAAAATCTCCTTGGAACCTTCTTTTCTCCAGGCTTAGTAACTCCAGCTCTCTCATCCTGTTTCCATAGCAGATGTGCTCCAGTCCTCTCAGCATCTTCATAGCCTTCTCTGGACTTGTTCCAACAGGAATTTCTCCCTTCTCTTGTTGGGGAGCCCAGAACTGGACACAGCACTGCAGGTGGGGTCTCACCAGAGCAGAGGGGGAAAGTCACTTCCCTTGGCCTGCTGGCCACCCTGCTTCTGGTGACAAACTGCTGACTAGCCCACAGAGAAAAATACATTATTCTGTACTACAATAAACATTACAGAAAAAGTGTCATTGCACAATGGGCAACTTTTCTAATAATCCTTTCTCATCAGTCTCCATGAGACCAAGAGGCTATTGCCATGCTGACAGCATGGTTCCTTCTTGCTATTTTTCACATCCCTTAGCATCACTTTTCTTTAGTGCCTGTAAATTGTCCAGATTTCACATTAGGGAGTGACACAGCAATATTCTCAGTGCCAGAGAAAAGGTCAGAAGTGTATTTCCAACTATAAGTGATTCTACAAAAGATCAAAGAACATTAATTTGACACTGCATGCCTAATACTGTGCCTTCATTTGCACAGTTTTACCAGTTATTTTTATTCACAATTTCCCACCAGACCCAGAACAACTGCAGAAAAATCAAGTGCAGTAAAATAAGGAGTGAAATTCATCTGAATATTCAGCTGTCATCAGCACTGGAGTCAGTAAAAGCAGATCACTAGATCTCAATGCATGCTGTGAAAGAGGAAGCACAGCTGTAATTTGATGTTCACAATCTTTATAGCTACTTGTATCAATGAAGCTTGATTATAGGTTGAATCTATAATTCTGGCAGCTGAAGAAAGTATTCCATTGGCTACAGAAACAGACAAAAAACTTTGAAGGTATTTCCTAATGTCTTTTTAGTATAGGTTTTCCAGTGTATTGTAAACATCAGCCTCAACCACTTATTTCCTGGACTTGGGCAAGTATTTGTCTCATTATTTATAAAAATCGTTGCAGTCCCACTGGGCTTCACATCTCAGCCAGTACAGCCCCAGGGCTGCTTTTGTATTCCACCTACAGCACACAACACCTCCAAGCAATTTCATTCCATAATGCCACAGCAGGGAGCAAGATAGAGTTAGAGGGCAGATTGCCCATGAACCTTCATCATCATCTTCTTTTGGCTCTTTCACTTCTGCTCAGGGACTTCATCACTTCATTGTCACTGCCAGAACAAAGAAACAACATTTTACCCTCTGGTTAGGTATTAGCAATTCTCATTCACCTTGTTAATTTTTATTGAATAAGAAAACATGTTTTCCAACAGGTGCACACATGGTTTAAATAGAATTTGTGCTTGCCCACTGGAAATAGATCTTGTAACCTTGTCTTTCTGGATCTCTGGGACTTTTGCAAACAGCACCTTATTTCATTGCAGGTTTCATACTATAAAACCCCATTTCCCTTGTTTTTTTGTGTTTTGGTTTTTTTTCGGTATAAAAAAGGAAAGAAGATCATCAGCCTTAACTTTTTGGACAGACATTTAAGAAGAGTTCTATGAACTGATCCACATATTCTAATTACTGTGCAGTTTTATATCCTCTTAAAGAGTAGCTGAGACTTGTCTGCTGCATCATGGCAAAGTATGACCTTATCTGACCCAACCATATTGAAGCAACTCCTTAGGGAGGAAAAAGAAAGTGTGGAGGCAAGCTTAATTAAATGTAGACTTTTCTTCAGGTTAAGTAAGTCAACATAAAACAGTATTTTCCATCCCATCCTTTTCCTGCTTGTTCCACACTGATGAGCATCTTTAATAAAATGAACACAAGTATTTCTTGAATCCATTTAGGGACTAAATTGTAGTTTTCATCTACAGGGAGTTACAGAAGGAAATGCAATATTAGTTTGACAAAATAAAGCCCTTTTTAAAAAAATTAACATTTGGGCTGAATAAGACCAAGTGTTAAATTTCTAGTTTTTTTAAAAAAAAACAATGGTACAATTTTATAATATGCCTGGCATGACATCAAATTTTTGATAAGTTTAACACACTGAAACACATTTAAAAGTGCTCAATTCTATCCCTGCTTTACAACAAATTCCTTGAACTAATAAATCTTAAAAACAGGGAAGAGAAAACAAGTAGAAAATCACTTTTCTAAATACTGTTTTCCCTAAAGTTCCTTTTTCCTCTTTTTTCACTCAGTAGTGAATACACCTGGAGAAGTGATAGCTCCTAATGTTTTCCTAAATACCAAGGGTTTGTAACTAGAGTAGTTCACATCTGTGTTTAACAAGGGAATCACTTTCCAACAAGCTCTTTCCACCAACCCTCCCTCCTCCTTACCCAGAGGAATTATCTTTTTCACTTAAAAATGAGCTACTTTCAGCTATAATTTCCTTTTACTGCGTGCTTCCCACTACCTTCCTTTCCTTGAAGCACTAACATAGAGACCTCAGTAGTTTAAATGCATTATATGCTTATATTATATGCTTTTCTGATATACAAAATCAAATATTAACATTAGTTTTCCCTACAACACTCAGTGGAATATCACAAATTACTTATGAACACAGCTAGATCTGCGAGGCATGAATAAATGGAAAATAGTCCTGTATTTAAATGGCAGATTAAGGGACAACATAGAGTAGCATCCCTAATACAGCACTAACTCCCAACACAAAACAGGATCAATGGTTTCTCTGCACAGAGTGAGGAACTGGAATTCCTCACTGGAATTCAGTGTAACTGAAATTGTCACAACTTCATAGCTCAGCTACAAAACAGAGCACAAGAAAAACAGTTTCCCTTTATCTGCTAATATGTTGTTGGGAGAGTTACAGTGGGCCAACCTTATTGTTGTAAAATCAGGTCTCAGGAAGGCCATGAGGTTGTGGTCCCAAATGTAGCAATACATTTTAGTGCAGCAAGTCTCCCCGAGGTCTTCACACAACATCTGTCCTGAAACAAATGTAAGTACCACACTTAACATTCTGTCCTGCCAGTATGGGCATTCTCAGTTTGGTTTGCCTTGGCACCAATGCCATGAAAATTTGTTTTGAGCCGTACCATGAACAATGGCCCTTTGGTTCATGTGGCTGGGCATGGACACAGAGAAAAAGACAGAGCCTGCACAAGAGCAGGGGGTGTCCCTGGGAACCACAAGACACATGTGTGAGGAGTAGGGCACACTGGCTCCTATCACCCCACATTTCAGTGGGTGACAAGAGGCTGAAGACTGAGGGCCAAGCTAGGACCACTGACACGTGCAGGGCCTCAGGAAAGCATACAGGGACAAATGGCCAATGAAAATAAGTGAGATTAAAGCTCTTAAAGAGAGGCATTGAGCCTGCCCCTTTATACCACAAAAAAAAAAAATCCCCATGGTGCTCTTGGTTCTATAGGTTTACAGCCAGCTTAAACCATAGTAAACCCTAAGGCAGCAAGAGCTCCCTATCCTATAGGGCAACTCTTACACTCCCAAGCTGGGTATGGAGAACACGGATTGAGGCGGGGTGACCTCAAAGAGTGTGCGGATGGTAGCAGAAGCCTGACTCGCCTCAGCAAAGGCCCTATCCAGCCCTCACAACCACCATCCCCAGCGCCTCCCACCCCTGTGGGACCGCGCTCCCTCAGCGCCAAGGCTTTCAAGGGAACGGCGCGCGCCCCTCCCGCTCTGCGCGCCAGGCCCTGATTGGCTGCGGCGGGAGGGGCGGAGCCGCGGCCGCAGAGTGACGCGTCAGCCGGGACGGGTCACGTGGCCGCCCGCTCCGCGGTGCGCTCGGGGGCC